GAAATAGCAGTGGAATTGAAAATGGAATTTTAGAGAGTAAAAGCAAAGCAAGATATTCTTTTTTATTGATTTTAAAATTGGTTTCGAAACTAGTTGATATATATATATATTATATATATAATTAAGTCGTAAAATTCGTACTAAATATTTATCACAGACAATGAAATTTTCCAAATGTAACTTTTTAATTACATACTTAGAAACATGAACGATGCATAAAAATCGACTGATAATGTTTACGTTCGACTCGGATAATCCTATGTTCGAACGAATATTTCAATTATTCTAAATATTTGAAGAAAAGCGGCCATGAAAATAACATGGCGAAATGAATGAATAAACGGCAGTTTAAGACATTAAAATAACGTGGCATTTACGAAGAAATTTTAAAATGTACGCGAGCAGTGACGCGTGTAATCACAGTTCAGAGGTTCAGAGCATTCGACAGATGAAAGGAAGTCCGTAGAATTTCAAAGCTTCTCGAAAGCTTTCGCATTCTACGGTTGATTTTACGTAAACTCTTTCGTCGATTTTTCATGCCCTCCTACGTTTCATTTCTACTAATAATTCCGACGAACGAATGTAATTCGTTCGCGTAAATAAATAAATAAATAAATAAATAAATAAATTCGTCCCGAGCATTTCATTCCGTAGCGTACAAGAGAGATCTGAAAATACATTGACAGTTGTCGTTCCCGTTTAAAACGTCGAGAAATAGTTATGCTACGAAACTATCCGCGCGGATTTATTTTTTAATTCCCGTGAATCTTCTCGGAAAAGTACTTCCGTTTCGCGCGATCGCACCTCGAATATGCTCGTATGTAACAGCCATGTGTTCACGTGTTCGAAGAAAGCAACAAATAAATTTATTCATTAATTCTTTTAGACTGTGACGTGCGAAGTATTTCCGTTGAATTACAATCTATCACACATACCTTGTTTCAATTTTATTTCTTGACATTTCCATATAAATTGATCTTTGTCCAGTGTAACACAAGGAATACGTTCTTCAATCCTTAGGATTGTTTATATTAATTATACACTTGCATCGGACATTTTTGATTTTTACATTACATTTTACTTGTTACGCTTTACGCTTTGTGGAATTTTTATGCTCTTATCGTGATTGTCAGATTCCGGATTTTTATACGTTTGTAGAAAATGCACGTGTACAAAGTATAATATATTTAAGTCTTGAAAGTTTGATTTGTCTCATCTTTAAAAATATATCTTTCGATATATTTACTCAATACATTGTAATATGTCATTCTTTTTGAACTTCTGATAAGTAGTTTATATTTTCTGCACGTTTCTATTTCAATACTAAACACTCAAAATTAATATATATGTATTTAAAAAGGTTCCATTTTTTTTAACTACCATAATCTAATGATCATTCTTTTATTCCATATTATTTATTACACTATTTACTATATTATTCTATATTATTTACTATATTATTTATTATTATTCTTTTATCTCTATACTGTTATTACAATTTTTTTGACGACTTGGATCCTGTCTTTCTATCATTCTACCCTATTGTTCGACAGTGATTATTATTTTCTAAAACTCGTTGGCATCTTACAATCACCAACGATGCGATTTATTTGCCATAATCGTTTCGCAATTGACGCGAAAATTTCAGAAGACTTCGCACTCACGATCGCGCGAAAAGCGAACATTTCCCCATCGACAAAAACTGATCGAACGACCGATCTGGCTCGTTCGAGCGCGATTAATTATTGTCAGCTTCTTTCCGAAGACGTCGGTTCGATTTTCACAAAGTAAAATCCTTTCGCCCGCTTGGGGAAAGAGAATCGATCGATTTGCTTGGCCGATTTGTGCGAATCGTTTATAAATAATCGAGAGCCTGTGTCACTGCAACGTATCCGCTTTCGTATTGACCTGTAACCTCTCGTTAGAATAGGAGGTAAGCGCAGCCAGCGAACTAATCGCGATCGTGCAACGTGACTTTACGGCCAGAGATTTATGGTTGCTGGTGATTTAGCGCGCTCAAGGACCGGAAAATCTAGTTAAAAGGATTCTCTTACTTGGCGCGTGTTTTCTTTCTTTTCTTCTTTTTTTTTTTTTTTTTTTTTTTCCCCCGTCTTCTGCACTGAAGCACACTTATGATATATGGGCTACATCGCGTTGTATTAATATGGGTCAGTATAGGACCTTCAGGCGGACCCTCTTTGTCCAATGAAAAATGGTCGTTTAATGGATTGGGTAAAAAAAAAAAACATTTGTCCAGCGACGGCTATTCTGTTGTAGAAATTTCTGTTTCAGAGAAGATAGTTTTTCAACGATAGGTTTCACGCGTGTATTATTATTTCTGGCGAATGCGAGTTTCACGATCGTTTTATAAATGGATTAGGTAAAAATACGCGTGTAATAGTTACTTTCTATTTTAGACAGTGATTTTATGTACGATTTTTTTATAACGATTCTGCAAACGTGTTAATCATGTGCACATCATGTTATTACAGTAATTACCATATTTTGAAGAAGATAGTATCTTTGATGGTGCTTTGATGGTTTTTCGTAGACATCATGGGTTTCGTAATTCTTTTATAAACGAATTCAATAAGAAAGATCTGTAATGGTTATTTTCTATTTTACAAAACAGTATTTTAAATAACACTAAAGTAGATAAAATTTTTCTGGAGATATGAACTTTTTAATAATTTTACAAGTGGACTGTATTAAAAGTATATATCATGTTACCGTGAGAATTTCTATTTTAGAAAAGAGTAATATTTTTGATTTAAAAAGAATATTAGCTCGCATTTTAAATCAAGAATTTATATATAATCTTTTTTATAATTGTTTTATTGATATATATATATATATTTTTTTTCAGAGAAATACTATACGTTAGATAATGCTTTTACATATGATGTTTTGATGGATATGAGTTTCATGGTTGGCGTTTTGTAATATTTTTTACCATATAAATTGCTGCTTCTGAAGGAAATACAATACGTCATTTTAATGTGTTTTCTTCCCGACAAGAATGATTTATGATTTTTTATTTTTTTTTTAACAGATAAATAACTCTATGTTCCTTGTTACACAAAAGTTACTACACAAAATTTCTATAATATTTGAGCCTGCAATGTTACGTATGAATCTCGTCATCGTTCAAAAATAATATTCCCCCGATAAGTTTTCCATCGCGAAAATCGCCACCTGAAGAAAAATCATTCAATTAGTATGTCAATTAATATTTCGTCGCGTTTCAGCGAGTTCACGTTTTAAAAAAAATATATCGTTTTATCATGCGAATTGCTGTTTCAAAAACAAGTGCGGTTATGGGTCGTTTCTTATCTGCTGTGAAACCATCTGCAGGTAGAATTTACGGTTTACTGATAGAATATGTGAAGCTTAATGTACTATCTCGCGCAGCGCGTTGTCGTGAAATTTTATGTGTACTTTGGAGCGTATAAATTGGACGGTTCAGTTGGAAATAGATACGTGATGCAACGACTGTTAGATACTCTAAATATAGTATATAGTAGCAAATATTTGCAACGGTAAAACATAGGCTCGTTTAAATAGCAGTGGACTTCAAGTAAATGCTTGAAATTGATTTCTGTTATATTACTTTATTTTATTTTTGAATTTGTGAAAAAGAAAAATGCTGCGAACAAAAAAATTTTCCGCTTTTGACATTTTTCATAAAAGTCACTGCATTCGCTAGTGATTTTACCTATTTTTAAGAATTTTTCGTATTTTTATATCTGTATCTAAATATATTATATCCCTTAAATTATATATCTACATTTGTATTATAATTACATTCTTGTGGCATCAGTTCTAAATTCGTTTGAATCTAATATTATGCTAATAACGAAAACGATGTTTATCAAAATAATTTGAATTTCACTTTTAATTGTTTCCGTGGCGTTGTAAGATAAAATTGCTACAATTGAAACGATCGAGTCATGCAACTGAGAATAGACAAATGACTACCTTTGCCAGAACAATAATAATCGGAAATATCAAATTCAACCTCAATATTAGGAATCTTGTATTTGATTAGCTATTATAATATAACCAATGAATTTGAAATGATTTCTGATCGTTCAGCTTTTGGTTGATTGATCTTTGAACGAACTGTAGTCGCTTAATGCAAACGCGGTTTAATTACCGTGCATTCTGTTGCATTCATGCTCCATTCGAACTACATTCGATATCCGCTCGCATTTGCCGCGAGTTTGTAGCTCGGCCACTAGACGAGCACGAATTTTTGTCGAAGCAGAGAACGAACGAGGAGTATTTGTTTTAAACCCGCCACGACTGTTCAACCAGAAATAGTCCATTCATCTATTTTTGCTCGAATGACTTGGCCTTTGCAGCCTAAACGCTGATTTTGCGAGACCACGGCGACAGAAAGTTGGGAAATATTTCACGAGAGTCGGAACAATTTAGTTCTCGCGTTAGTTAATTTTCCTGAATTTCTATTCCGTTTAATGATGACTTGACTTAAATCGAATTTCTCGAGCGTTCAATCAAGCAAAGGAAAATAGAGTAAATATAATAAAAATGCAAATGCAGATGTAAAGTAAAATTAAATATCCAAATTTCTTCCGATCGAGCATAAATTTCTACAGGCATCTACCGATACTACCTTAGGATTAAAGATTTCGACAAACTGAAGAGACTCTTTATTTAGTAGAGATATTGAAAATTAACAAGGAAAATAGAACAACAGATATCAGTTGTCTGAAAAATGCAGTGTAACTTTCAGCACAGCTGAAAAAAATGACTTCAGTCTTTCGATTTTCAAGCTATCCAAATTTCAGTCCATTCGTTTGTCACAGAGCCATTACATCGGTCATTCGAGTGAAGCGAATGATAAATCGTTTAACCAAACATCATACGATCTTATAAATGTCCCTGTCGTTTAGAGCGAAGCATGCTCTACTATTACAAAAAACGTAAAAAACGTGGATTTGAGTTTGTTATCGCGAGAACGTCCAGTTTAAGAAAGCAGCAGTTTTACCTCGGAGCTACGTTTACGCAATAATTCTTCCCTAAGGGAGAAATCTCAAGTGCTCTCCCTCTCTCTCTCTCCTGAAGGCACTGCAAACCGCGGCCAGTTCAATAAATAATGTTTTTATTAGCAAAAGAAGCAGCAAGGAGAGGAAGTTTTGAGTTATGCGAACCGCTGCGGCGAACAAAATATTCCCGGTCAGATAACGATCCTTCCGCAGGGATGTGAAATATATGAAAATACGGAACAGGGGATGATACGACACTGGCCAACATTTCTGTATGTCGCGCACAATGTTTTTGCCGTTTTAAGTCCGTTTTAAGTCAGGATTATTACACGACGATATTCGAACACTTGTAGGAACTTTTTTTCCCCGAGTACATCGCGTGTGTTATATTTTCGAAATTTCGTTAACGTTGCAGTGAGAGACGATCGTCACGATTACATTAATCAAGTTTGAAAGAAATCTGAAGAAATGTATATGTAAGTTATGAAATGTTTGATACAAGTATTATAGAAACTGCAAGATATTTAATACAAATATGTTTTGTAGAGAGTATAATTCATTACATTAATAAACACTTGCACGCTTAAGACGATTATTCATATTATACATTAATATTGCAATAAATATCTTGCAAGTCAAATATTCATAATACTATGACAAATGATTGCTTTCTTCTTCTAATGTAATACATCAATGATTATTTTATAATTTCGTCAATGTCAGAAGAAAATACCTCTCGTTTCACTCGAAACACCACTTACTATTAACAACGAACATTCAACGTCGATAATAAAATCTTTAAATTGTACGGTCATTTCGCGAATACGTCAATTGACAATACATCAACATCTGCTTTGCAGATTGCTTCTCTCGTATTTAATCTTTCCATTTTCGTATAACAAATATATCTCGTTCTAGGGCTTCTGAGATGAGTAGTATACGTGTATATATGTACATATGTACGTATGTATAGGAAGAAGTTTTCGACGTCTCGAAAGGTCGCGCGACTATCTGGCAGCTCTCGAAATCCCACGACTTATCACGATCCCAGTCATGTGAGGAGATATAAGGTTTACCAAGATTTCTCTCTCTCTCCTTCTCTTTTCTTTTTTCTGTTTCTGCTTTAAGCCACCTCGACGGATCGTGATATCTTGCGATATGCTGACCGATACTTCTCCCATCGGGAGATAAGCGTGATTTCCACGGATTTTCTGCGTGTCGACTTTCAAGCAGATTTGCGCCGGGCGATACATGACGAATCGAGCGCGAACGACTTCTCTCGAATTACCTCGAAGCAGCATCCCCTCGAACAATGGATTTCGAGAGGATTGATTTGAATCGAACGGATCGGAGAAATTCTGGAGGGGGCAAATTTTGCACAGGGGAGAATCGAGGAAACGAGATACCGTAGATTATTGCGTCCTTGTGGCAAAGAGATAAGTTTATTTTTGGGAATGTTATGTTAAACGTTAAAAGAAAAAAATTGCATCTTTATGCAATCTCGTATTACCATAATTTAGATGCAATTAAAAAGAGATACGAGAGCATTTTCGCACATTCTCGGCGTTCTTTGTATTTCTGTGTCTTTAGACTTCTTATAAATATATCAAAATTCGCAGTCCAATTATGACTCGTTTACTGTTTTAGAAAGAAATATTTATCAAACTGTTGAAGCTTACTCAAGACGAAACTAGAGAGACAGAGATTTCTTTTCTCTCTGGTTGGTGGGTTGCAGGTTGTTTTTTTGAGAATCAATTTTTAAAAGGTGAAAGTAAAATTTAAAAGAAATCATCCTATGTAATTAATTTCAATTGTAAGAGCTTATGATACAGTGTTTCATTCTCTGTTAATTTTAATTCCACGAATATATTTAATGTACAATGTAATAATTATAATAATTATTTAATGTAAATAACTACAATAATTATAAGATAATATAATTGTAATTTTCTGTATTCGTGGCAAAGCAGCAGCGAAGTATTTATTTATGTAGCACGATGTACAAAAATCCCGAGTAGAGAACGTGGAGCAAATTGAGTTAGTAAACAATAATTTTCAATCTTCTTTCGCACGTCAATCATTGTCGAAAATACACGATATAAACATGTTGTTCCGTGTCATCGTAAAGTTAGAGATTTTCACATTTTTGCCGGGAGCGGTGTTCAGCAAGTAGAACAGGTCAACCATTTGCGAGGCTTTCAGCTTACGGTTGTTCTCCATCAGAAACAACGTCAATAGAAATTTTCGAAAAATT